TTCCCTCCTGCTTCAACCTCTGTAGGATGAGATGGTCTCTGGGTCTTTTGTTTTTACTCACAGCAGAGCCATGATGCTGGCCAGCAGTGTCCTGAAGGCAGTGGGGAATCTGCCCTTCCTCCAGCAGACTGAGTAAAACAGCAGAGTCTTTCAAACAAAGGGCATGGATTTATGCCCAAGGACACGAAAACTCTAGTTTAATCAGCTAGACTAGATCACGATGGTGGCCGTAATGCAGCAGACATGGGTGGAGGTGTATTCGCAGCCATACAACTGGCTGTGACAATGATCAATAGATAATATGCTTTCTTAAAAAAATATGCTTTCTTAAAAAAAAAACCACACTTTAAATCATTCATATGCCTGCAATAAGCATGAGGTGTATATGCTCGTATATGTAGAAAGCAGCAGACTGTTGTTCCTTGGAGCAGTCTGGTAACAAATTGCCACTTAGTGCTAGTTGTCATAAGGAGGGCTTACATGGATAATATGTTGGTTTAGTTGGCACAGGCTCAGAAGATTTTTCCAAGGAACAAAACGGAATTAGCTGTTTAATGTCAATTGTAAAATCAGATAATGAGTTAGGTGTCTGACTTCCCTTGTCCTCAAAAATCATCCCGCCACATTCAGAGAAGTCTTCAGAGGTGCCATAAAGTGTTGTAAAATGCAGAACACAAGCTTACTTTAAGTAAGTGATGAAAACACATTCGTAGCAAGGCTGTTAAAATGCCATAGTAATGGCACTGCCTAATAACATGAATTGGCACTGCCCACCTAAAATAGGCTGGGGCTCTGAGGGAACTGGCATCCTGCAGCCTTAAGCAGTTGTTTCATGGTATTCTTAAGAGGGCTGCTAGTTTGCACCTCAGATGGCACATTTATTTTGGTCATGAATGACATTATATCTGAGTAGGTGACATTTTCTAGCAGTATTTTAGGAACATCTGCAGAGGTTCCTTATTTGTAATATTTCAAAGTGTTTTGGGACATGTGCAAGTACTATATAGGTCAACAAAATATAGCAATTAAATGTTGCAGTTTTATCAGGGTGAATAATTCATAACAAAACATTTAGTCCTTAGACTTGTTTTCATTTTCTGCAAACGGAATGCCTGTGAGTAAATCACAACAATCCAAAATACCACCCATTTCACAGAAAAGTGAAGCACGCAGCTTACATGCCAGCTTTCAGGATCAGAGGGAGATGTATAATTCAGAATTTCTTTGTCAAACATGGACTTTACACCACACTTCTGAACTGCAACATGCTAGTGGAGGTCAATTCTTTGTGGAAAACAAACATAAAAAGATTCTCATCCTCCCTAAATTATATATGTGTGTGTATGTTATATATAATATGCATTATATATTATATATTGTATTCATATAATATGTACACATACACCTATGTATATATTATATATATACTATAGCAGTGAACCCGTGAGTGTCAGCGTTGTCCTAGGCATTGCACAAATATATGGTATAGCCTTGTCTGCCATGGTGAATTGTACTGTTTGTGCTGGCCTCTATATGGACAAAACGTCTTGTTTCTAGCAGGGGGGCAGTACCAGCAGTACGAATATGTTTTGGTGTGTTTAGACACAACTTGCACGTGGGAGGACAGATAAGCTATACCATATGGAAGTGTCCTTCTGTGTAACTGCGTCCACAGAGGGTTTTTACTTCTTCCAGCTATTTCAGTGCAAATATTGCATTTCTCCTTTAAACTTTCAAGGGCTAGTCATGAGAAGGAAGGGGTCTTTTATTCAGAGGAGATGGAATAAGTTGGAATCCTGGATCCAGAGGAGCTTCCATCTGAAAATGGAAAAGACAACTGAAGTCTAGGGGGAAGGAAAGGCTGCCTTAATTGCCCCAAATCCGAAAGGACTGTAAGAACTAAACTGCTGTTCTCAGAGTCCTCGTGAAACCTCTTTTCTTACTCAAAGAAAATATCATTTCTGAACTTACCTGCAAAAACTTTTTTTTTATTTAGCCATAATTACAATGTTAAATGTGAATAATTTGGATTAGAAGATGAAGTAGGTGATGAAGTTTAAGTTCTAATGGAAATAGTTCCTGTGAGATTCAGAATATGTATATTTTAAAATGTTGCAAGTGCCTTAGACTATGTTGTTCCAACATTGGAAGGTTTCTGCTGACATGGAGGGAAAGCCCACAGTAATATGTTAAAATAATTCACAGATTCTCCTCAGCATGCAGCTGCCCTTCACATATATCAGTATCGTTTATTTGAAAAGGAGACTTGGTACCACCAGGCACTTAGCGAGGTTTATCTTGAGAGGTCAAGAAGGCCTGAAGAAAGCAAGAAGAGGAGATTGTTCACAGTACTCCGTGTTCTTGCTTCAGATAATAAATAAGAACAAGATAGATATTGAGATTTCAGTCAGTCAGCCTTGTCAAAACTATGGAGTACACCTCTCCATTCACAGGAAAATTCAATTCACAGGAAAACTAGAGGCTCAGGAAAACTCAAGGCACTGGAGTAGGGCAGTTTGAAACACAGGGCAGGTTTTTGTACAAGCTCTGTGCAACACACAGCAGCAAGGGTTTCTCTTATACATTCCCCCCTCTGGCTCTTTGAAAAGAAATGCGTCTTGCTGAGAGGATAACAGGACCAAGCTGCTTCGCAAATGCAAGGGGGGCTTAAAAATGACGAGGCCTTGGATTTGCACCAGTCCAGGGCAGCACCACGGGAGCAGGCAGGGTGGCCTTGGGCACACGAGGGGACAGCGAGGAGCAGCACCGGCTGCAGCACTTTGCTTCCCCCACATGACCTGCCGAGGCTCTGCGAAATACATGAAAACTGAGATTTTTTTTCAGAAGTTTATAATTTGGCCAGATTTGGGATATTTTTTTTTCAGAGGAACAGCAAAAGGCACATCTCTGACATCAGAGTGACCACCTTGCCAATTTTCATGGCATTGCTCCAAACCACAGAGGCACTAGAGTTTCACAAATGCTTGCAAGAAGAATTTAAATCTTTCTTACTTTCCAAGCTAGGTGAACTGTTTTTGCTGAAATTAATATATATTTTCAAAGTGCACACTCACCTTCAGGTATTAAGCCTAAGTGAGATACTAGGCATAGAAAAATTGAACCCAAATGATTAGTTTTTCCATTTTTATATGCAAATAAAGTATGTTAAATTTCCTAATATTTTTATTTTAATAAAAGATTTTATAATGGGAAGTGTTACTGAGCTTTAACAACACACAGGATTACAAGGTTTCATTTGTAGGGCTTACTGATTTAGATGGATGAGTCTGTTACAGAGCGGATTATGAAGTAAAAGCTCAGCTTGGTGAAAATAATGTAACTTCAGTTTAGAAAAGGGCATATGGTTTCAGTCTATCTGTGAAGGGACTTGTAGGAGGCTGTGTGGGTTTCATGAGTTCTTTACTGTATGAGCTGACACCCAGTTGGTTTATTCCTGATAATAAATGCACTTGCACACTGTCCTATGCTTGTATGATCAAAACCAGCTCCATACACATAACTGCTGTCTTTCATTTTCAGAGATTTGAAGCCAGAAAATATCCTGCTGGATGATTATGGTAAGTCTGAGAGCTTTGCAGAGCTTCCTTCACGATAAGGGAGGTTTAGGATTCCTAGTGCACAAGGGCTGGGCGGCTCGGGGTGCGCTCATGCCTTGGGGCAGAGCGGTGCTGCACAGCAGGGTGGGCTCGTGAGCCCCGAGACGGCCCCTGCCTTTTCTCCCTTGCTTCCCCGTCCTCGTTGCTACGAGGCTGCACGGTGAAGGGGTGGTGGCTTCTAAACGCGCGCTCTCCACTCGCCCCTTGGAAGTGCTGTCGCCCTTTACTGAGCCAAGTCTCGCTCTGTGCAAGCCCAGGTGCCTGTTTGCTGCTGGAGGCAGCGATAATCAAACCTCACGCTGAGTTATGGACCAGATGTAGCCCCTTCAGCCATCACAGAGCTGCAGAATTAGGTCAGCCCGTGAACCCACCATGATCAGTTCAAGATGCTTCCCCACTCTGTGCTCTTTATTGCCTTTTTTTCAAATTTTTTTAAAATATCCGACACAATCTACTCTGGTCCTCAGCCTCACCGTTAGAATTAATATCACTGCGTTATAGCATCCTTAATAATTCCTCTTTTCCTCATCAATGAAATTGTTCCAATTCAGTGATTTGGAACGCTCGTTTCTTAAAACGTCAGATCAGTAAATTGCAAGAGTGAAGCAGTGATGACAACAGTTACATTTTCTGGCTGTTTTGGAGTGATATTGTTATATCTGCTTTGTGTTGTTTTGTTTCTTTTGTTTCCTTGCAGGTCATATTAGAATATCTGATTTGGGTCTAGCTGTTAAAATTCCTGAGGGCGAATCAATCCGCGGAAGGGTAGGAACAGTAGGGTATATGGGTAAGTCCTCAGTAGCTCATCTTGTTGATAACTTACTGAGATTACTTGAATTTTGAAGATATTTCTGCCATGTAGGCTTAAACAGAAATAAATAGAATATTAATAAAAAAAAGATTTACATTCATCTGGTTCTGTTCCCTGAAGCAGCCCACCAGGTAGTCGCGCTGGTGGAAATCAGAAGTGAGGGGCAGGCAGGATCCCAGCAGCTCTTAATGAGACTGGAAGAAACTGGTCTATGATTCTGTGTCAGCAAAACAACTTACAAGAGACAATAGCTGGGTTTCTATTTACTGTGACATGGATTTATTTCAGGAGGGTTATATGCATGTTTATCATGAAGTTAAGTCTGCATGAATGTTTTGCTGTTTGGGCACAGGGAGCCCTTAGAGGCAAGTAGAGATTTGTATAGGGGTAAAACAAAGCATTTCCTGATTGAACTAAATATGTTTTCTAAGATCAGTGTAGTCCTTTCCATGCCTTCTCTGTGTGGACATTTTTCTTGGAATAACAACACTTAAACACTTACTATACTTATTTGACTAGCAACTATATACATATATATAAATAACTTATTTGACTAAAGAGGAATTAACTGATGTGAAACACTGTTGCAGCATCTGGAGACTTTAATGCAAGCAAGCACATGAGCTGTTGTTGTTACAGGCTGTTGTCTCGCTGTAGGTCCGTGGGCGCTCTCCATGCTTGGGTATGAGCGTGTCCGTACCCGTGTGTGGAGGCTGAGCGTGCCTTAGGAAAGTGATGGTTTGCCCAAGGCAGACCGGGTGTTGGCAAGACAAAACAAATGGATTTGTGCTTAAAGGGAAAAAAGCTATAAATTCACCGAAAAGACAGAATTTGCTTTTGGAGAAAAGTCTCTGTTGTTTACAGGATGTGTGTTTGTGTGTCATTTCTTTCTAAATGGAGAAAACTGGAAGGACTTAAGATTGGCCTTCTCCTTAACACTTAGCTTTGAATTCTTTTTGCTTTTGTTTTTTAATTGCTCTGAGCTTGTTTATGAACATGGCATATAGCACGCTGCATCTTCTATAAATCATTCAACAGAAATCAGGAAGGTTTTTTTTATATTTTACCCACCTGTGTATTCAGTTACCAAAATGGGACAGGTTTAGGTTTTGCCTCTGTAAATGTCAAGCGTGTTCACAAGATCCGTCTTTCTCCTCCGCAGCCCCAGAAGTGTTGAACAACCAGAGATACACACTGAGCCCTGATTACTGGGGGCTAGGCTGTCTCATCTATGAAATGATTGCTGGGCAATCGCCGTTTCGCGGAAGGAAGGAGAAGGTGAAGAGGGAAGAGGTGGACAGGAGAGTGCTGGAGACGGAAGAAGTGTATTCCCATAAGTTTTCTGAGGAGGCCAAGTCCATCTGTAAAATGGTAAGGGGCTTGACGGTCCAGCGAGGCAGCTTCGTTAGCCAGCCGTATCCAGCACGGTGGGAGAGGGGCTGCAGAGACAAGGATTAACCCAGCTCATCTGGGATGACTGCACTTTGTATTCACCCAAATTGTGTTTATTTGGGCTTGCTTTACTATGAGATTCCTCATACTGTGTCCTCTCCAAAGCTTTATGGCACAGGGAGCGGTATCTACCCTCGTGAGACTTTGAATGCTAGTTTGCAGTCAAGAATGTGTTTCTGACTTTTATAATCTTGTAGAAAAAATAAAAAGGACTTGATGATGCAAGGCTCCTAGTGTCTCCTGCAAGGAACTGAGCACCCCATGCTTCCATTGTCTTTGGTGAGAGCTGGGGGTAAGCAGGACAAAGATTATGCAATGAAATCATTGTGACACTCAAGTGTTGTACCTCCCCATCTCACTAACTTTGTTAGCAGCTTTTCCTCCAGGGTGCCAGGGTATCCAGCTTTTTTTAATACTGTTGAGCTGTCCTTTAAAATATTTTCTCACCCTTTCAGCTGGGAGTCATTTCCCTAGCACAATAGCCCTGTCTGACAATAGAAATCCTCAAACCCTCAGAGAAATCTCAAAGCTGTGTCTGAATTCACCAATGCCATGTCAACTCCCATCTTTAGAAAGCTAGAATTGTAATTTGGAAAGGGATGTGGCCTTGCTGTCAATGTTGTTCCCTAAAGAGTGAAGTCTCCTTTGGAGACACTGACATATCAGTGCATACTGGTAGAGAGAGAATGAAGGGATGGTCAACAAATAGGTAGTGAGAGCTTCACTCAGACAGTGACTTATGCAACAGGCAAGCAAACGGCGTATCAACAACATTCTGGCTGGCTGGCTTTGGTGAGAGACACTGAAGTCTCCTTGCAAAATATAATGGTAGCATTGCCAAGTATCATGCCTGGAAGTCATTAACTGACAGTGAACCAACTCATTGCTGAATCCCCAGGGTAGTAATTAACTGACATCACTCTTGATGGATACTCTAGGCCATAAACTGTCCTTAAACTGAGATTCAGAGCCCCCCAGTGATGTCAGCTTGGGAGGACCTAGGGCAGCCACAGGCCCTTACAGACCCAGTCCATTTAGTGCTCACTCTGCTTGCCCTCACTTACTGGTAGCATCTCCACTCCCAGCAGGTAAGAGGAGAGTCTACTGGAGTGGCAGAGGCTTTGTGTGCTTCATAGTGTTAAGTTTGTACATGAGATGAAAGTGTTGTGAGGCAAAAATGATATTCTTGCTGCAGGCAGAATATTGTAATTCTATTACAATAGAATTGTAATTTACAGGAAAATAACTGAGCTCATGAAAAGTTGAGGCTGAGTAGAATTAAATTTAGCATAGATGGGATAGTGCTGGACATGATGTATGACTTACCAGACAGGAGGTAGTGAAAGTTGTTATACTGTAGCAGTCATTTTCATCTTCCAGCCATAGAAACTGTGGTTTCAGGGAACCTCAGGAAATCCTGTAGTTCATTCCATTGCTTCAGGCAAGGATGAGCTGTTTGAAAATAATTCCTAGCAACTTGGTCATTACTGCCTGACTGTCGTGGTTGCTTAGGTGATTTGTGCAAACTCTTGATGTACCAAAAGAGAGTTCTGTCCTGAGCTTATGTTTATATATGTCATATATGTCAACACATGTCATGAGCATATGTTTATATTACTGTGCTTTAAGACTGAAAGAGCCTTACTTCTGATACTGGGCATAATGGAATTTGTGGTTCTCCATCCAAAATTCACTTAGATTACCAAGTGATATTGTTAAAAAAGCCAAGATGTAAATATCTTCTCTCAAACACTTTTGGCTGCTTGTACTCAAAAACAGAACCCTGTTGCTTTGTACGAATACCTTATCAAGGACACAAGAAAGGAAGATCTATGATCCCATCAGATCTGCAAAACAAAGCATGAAGTTGTAGTGGATAAAGTCAACTTACTCATACCTTCTCCTCAAAGCTTACTCCATGATCTGATGTCCTCACCATTAGGACATATGTCTTTATTCAGTTACTCATAGGCAAATACATTAGTGTCACCCCACTTCAACCTTCCCCTCCTAGATGTTTATGCCCTTTGCATGTTTGCAGGCACATCTCATAGCTTCCATTAATCATCATCCATCCCGTATTTCCATGTTACAATTTCTAAGTCATTTCCCATAAATCAACCCTTATTTTGGCCTGAAGTAGAGATGAATAATAAATAATTAGGAACAGGGGCATCTGGCTTTCTGGGAAGCTCCCCAACCCATAGTTCCCATATAACATAACTGCTTCATGTTTATTTTTCTGTGAAAAAATCCAATCTTTCTAGGAAATGCTTCCTTTTTGTTGTTGTTGTGACTTGTACTTCATTGATGTAGATGCTTGTTTTCCCTGACAAGTGCAGTCTTGTATCCAAGGATGTGACTTGAAGTGCATTCAAGTCAACAGTATGGATGGGCCTTTATTGCTGTGCTCTGTTTCACTCTGTCAGTGCGCTGTTTGTCTATGTTTCCCCCAGGCATTTTTAGACTACCTTCCCCGTCACTTCGTATTCCTACAACTCCCATTTTACTCCTCGGAAAGTATCTCCATTTCCTTCCTGATGTGCCTCCCTAACCAACTAAAACACGATGGGTTCTTTTTTCCTAAAATGAATCACTTTATTCGCCACTAGAAACTCCATCATCTTGCTGCTAGTATTCTTCTTTGCTTTCATCCTTGGAAAACAAGTAGTTCACACGTTATAGCACCTTAAAGTTCGTTAGTGCTGCCTCTTTTATCTGTCCTGAGAGGCATCTCTCACACGTCAAGGTGTTCAAGTGATAACTATTGCTGTTGGTAATGATAGCAATAATAGAAACTTCTGTTATGAGTCTCTCCCATTAGCTTTATAGTCATCCATGCCAGAAGGAGTTTTGACTTTTCTTCAGCCAGAGTTTGGCCTGGGATTATCATAAGCGTAACAAATGCAATCCACAGACTTTTATGTCATCCTAGCATTTTCAGTCTCAAAACACTATCATTATTTATTATTTGAGAGATGACCATAATGTTATTTTCCTGTTCTTAAAGCAATATTTAAAATAGTATGAGTTTTTTTTCAGCATTTAAATTTATCTAAGTTATCTCTAAAATTACTCAATCAGTGGGTCAATGAAGGTAGTTTTGCCATTCCCCTCTCTGTCTTTCATGAGCAGCATTTTTTTGCACTTTACTCTGAAAAAAAGTTTTCTTACTCATGTCATTAGAACAAACATCTTAGAATTATTTTTCATGCAGTGTTACCTGGAGATGAACTGAGTGATCACATGCGAATAAATAAAGCAGGGCTTTGGGGGCTGTTTTTTGCTGTTTTTTTTAGCAATCCTCACAACAGTTGCTTCTTCTTGTAAAGGAAGCAGAAAAGTCTCAGACGTTGCATAAGAACAAAAAGTGCTGCTGCTTGATGTGGACTCCATTCACTGCTGGATAGCCAAAGTCATCTTCTGAAGTCTCTGAGTAGCTCTGTGTTCTCCCATAGCCTTTGACTGTAGCCTTACATTTAAAGTATGTTTCACTAGTCATTAAATGGCCCTCTTAAGAGGTCATGTCAGCAGCCTAATATAGTTGCATTTGTTCTGCTCTCCAGTCATATCAAATGCATCTTTTGAAATTAAACAGAACTGTAGAGATGACTGAAAACATACAGCTGTTATGTCCATTTTCTTGCTCTGGTGAGATCCCCAAACAGGATGTTTATTTCAGGTTTGTACAGGTTAACTAGTGCAGCACACTTCTGGAGCTGCAGGAAATGGTGCAAGATTCATTATTCCCTGGAGACAGGAAGGACTTTCACTTCTGGAATATATTCTAGTTGATGCTATTTCTTGATATCCACCACAGAAGCCCTCAGAAGTGTTTGACTTTATCTGTTGCCATCTCTAGACCCTGCAGCTACAGAAATAGGAAATTCTGTACAAAATTCCGCGAATTTGTTACTTCTTCTCCATTGTGACCATGCTGGGACTCTCCTCAGAGGGTGGACAGCAGCTTCTCAGCAGCTGGGTTTTGTGGGTGAACCTGTTCTTTTCTGATGGGGCATTAGTGCCAGCTTAGCAGCTCTCTGAGCATCTCACCCTTACTGCTCTCACAGAGACACAATGCCTTGCAGTCCCAGCCCACTCCCAGCAGCCTTTTTCTCTCACATCTTTCAGTCCATAGTGGACAACCACTCACAACAACTGCTTTCATGCTCCAGAGAATTCCTGCTTGCATCAGAGATCACTGAAAAATGTCCCACAATTATTACTGAGGAACTCAGGAATCCCCACAGCTTCTTTTTCTGTCCTCAACCACTGTAGCCTCTGACCAGGCTCTCCACACTACTGCTGACAAGGGCAAATTCTCAGATTAATTTAGTCTTCCTACTTAGTTTACAGGCAGGTGGATTATTGGCTGCACAAACAGAACAGTAGCCTTCTTGTTTGTTTGTTTGTTGGGTTTTTCTTTCCATTTTATAGTTAACTTTTAGAGCAGAAACTGCAGAGGACGACTTTTTCATCTAGAGGGAAGTCCAAACCTACCGCTTTCAACAGCTCTTTGCTCTTTGACAGCACTGTCCCTTGCTCCTGAATGCCTCAAGACACCATTTCCAAAAATGTGTCAGTGAGGGGTAGTAAAAGTGGCCTTTCACCTTCAGGTTATACTTTCCACCTATCGACACAGCAACCGAACGCTAATACAACTTTTGTCTTCTCTGCCTAGCATCAATAGGACAGAACGGATCCTGTCTAAAAACTCCAAAGCATTTTTTTGACATAGGTTAGATCTAGATACCTGTTGTGATTAAAAAATAATAACAAAACTTGCCTCGAGACTGTAAAAGCTCAGTCTTATGTAAGTCTTATGTTTCAAAAGAAACACATTCAACCTTCTTTCTACCCAGGGAAAGCGAGCTCCAGAGAAGTGCTGCTAGGAAAAAAAAAAAAAAAACCCTTTTGGTTAAATTGCATTTGTATGATGCTGTATCCCATGAATCTACTATGTGCTTAGGGGATGGCAAGGCACAGAAACGCTTCTTCAAATCCTCCTCTTTCTAAAGATTCTGAAACCCTGAACACCTTCCCTGGAGAAAGCAGAGCCAATAAAACACACTCCTTGTAGTGTTTCCAAGATCCCATAGCGTGCCAGCGCTCAAAGCAGTCATGCTCCCAACCACTAGCCTTGCCAGAGCAGTGATTTTGAGTCAGGTGTGGTTTGAGAGGGTTGCTTTCTCCAGAAGGAATCCGCCACTTCCAGACAAAGTTTTAGTGACACAGCTGAGAAACTTCTCTTCACCTGTCATTTGTCGAGGTTTTAGAAGACCTTGTTTCCAGAGGATATATTTCTGATCTAAAGAATGCAGATCATTTCTGTGCAGACCAGCAGCAAGAGCAGAGCAGCAAGGAAGAGCAGTCCAGTCTGAAGAGCTGTTTTCCCTCTCTCTACAGTTTTGGTCACGATCAGAGCAGACATCATCACCTCGACAGTAGCAGCATGAGAGACAGAGGAAGCTAGGGGAGGAAGGGAGCTTGGTTTTTGGAAGCTGAGAGCTGTGTTATGGCCAGAACTACTGGCTTTCCCACTCATCCCTCAGTCCTCACAGTCTTCTCTGATCATGTCTCCTATATCTCCGCTTATGTTCCACCATCCCTTTCATGATTTCTCCTGGCTATGTAGCCTCTGCCACTGCAGTCTGCTCCATATGCAGGGCACACTCTGCAGAAGCCATTCAATATCTCAGCCTGGAAAAATAAACGCCCCAGCAAAAAGAAAGCGCAGGAGTGAGGAGGTGTTTAACGAGCAGGCTGCAGGAGTCAGATAAGAGAAGTGCTGCTGCCCAGGGAGTAGCAGAGTGCTCGGGGAAGCCACCAGAGCTGTGGCCCTGTAAGTCACAGATAAACACAGGAGAAGCCAGTGCTAGGCAGGCACCAGAGGAAGGATCATGGATGTCCTGTACATTACAAACAGCCCTTTCAAGGTTCCTCCTCATGGAGGTGACATGGCCGAAGCATGGCGGGTGCTGAGGCAGGCGCTGAGGCGGGAAGCCTGCAGGCGCCATCTTGCCCTCACAGGCCAGGCCCCACGTTCCCTTCTTCTTTCAGGACTGTGCCTGATTTTCTGCATGTTCCCTGGAAATGCTTCTTTCTCTCCCACCCTGCCAAACCTATGTGCCCTCAAGAGAGCCCCAAACTGGCACTGCCAGGCAGGTTGCTGCTTGCTGATGGTCCTGCCTGGCAGGTAGAGCTGGTACAAGACCCCACAGCCGCTCCACTGGGCTCGGCACCATGTGGGTCTGAGGGGTGCAAGGAGGCCCAACCATGGAGCTGAGTCCCCTCCGGGCAGGTAGCGCTGAGGGGCTGCAGAGCCGCCGTGGTGCACGGAGAGGGGTCCCTGCACTCAGCATCGGAGTGGAGATGGGAGAGGGGCTGAGGCAGGAATCTTCCACCCCCAGGCCTCCAAGCAGAGCCTACCCACTCCATGAAAGTGTCTCCCACACTGCTGCCAAGGTGTTTCCTCATCAGGGCCCTTTCCAAGGGGCTCCTCCCTGTGTGGCAGCAGATCACCCAGGCATGTGTCTGTGCTGGCCCACGGTGCCCTTTCCTCTGCTGCCCCCCGGCGGCTCCTTCCCTTCCCTTCCCTTCTCTTCCCTTCCCTTCCCTTCCCTTCCCTTCCCTTCCCTTCCCTTCCTTTCTTCCTTTCTCTCTTCCCCATTTCCTTTTTCACCTCTCCCCTCTCACTTTTCCCTTCTCCCCTCTCCCTTCTCCCTTTTCTCTTCCTTTCCTTTCTCTTTCTCCTTTCCCCTTTCCTTTCTCCTTCCCTTTCCATTTCCCTTTCCTCTTCCCCTTTCCCTTTTTAGCACCAGGCACTGCATGCTGAACTCTGTCACATACAGATCTTCAACTCTCTTCTCTCTGTCTCTAAATACACCATCTACTAAAACACGGCTTTGGCCCATTCAATTCTGTGAATATGATTTAAAAGACAAGACATTTTGGTCAAGATTTTGGCAGCATGCTGTGTCTCCTCATCCACCAACTAGTGGAACAGGTCTTTCACTGAACCAGCTGGACCTGTTCTCCTACACACAAAGAGTTTTGATCCCTGTGTATATTTGTGTTTGTGTTTATGCAGGTCTTTTGATATAACAGACCAAGGATACTGGGCTGAGCAATCTCTGTTGCTCCACAGAGTGTAGCCAGCAAGCAGACAGCACTTGCTGTAGCATATGGAGGTTGTGCATCGCCCTTCGCTGAAAACAACCAAGGCTGGCATTAGGATAGTTACTAATTCTGGTTCACTGGTGCATGGACAAAATTCCCTTTGACTTCTACAGGGATAGGCTGGCAAATAAAAATGATTGGGTCCGGTATATGTTTTATACTGGAATATATTGCAATGGGTAGGAGAAAATGCAATGTGATGGTGAAGCAACACAACATAAGCAACTCAGGAAAATTATTATGACAAGAGTAACATGTAAAAAAATAGGAAAAGCACATGGGAACTTATAAATATGTATGAGAAATGCCAGATCTCTTCTCCAAAGTGCTCATTGAAAGTAAAAGAAAGAAACAATCTCTATTTTGATTATAACCTAACTTTACAGCTGCTGATTCTCTGATCAGCATTTAGAACACTGGGATCCTAATCCACTTTGGCCATTAAGTAACATCAATTACAATTTCCCTTCATACTCCTCTCTGGATGCATTCAAAAAATAACAACCTTGGAGGAAAAAAAATCCCTGTGAGGCTCTCACTATTCTAACTTCCTTACCATTCCTCTGGGCATGTTTCAGCTCCTCACCAAAGATGCGAAGCAGCGGCTGGGATGTCAAGGGGAAGGTGCAGCAGAGGTGAAGAGACACCCCTTTTTCAAGAGCATGAATTTCAAGCACTTAGAAGCAGGCTTATCCATAGGAGTAATAAAAGAAAAAAAAATACAATCTGAACCAGATGGCACTCATAAAAATCAGCAAAATCACATATATATATGTAGGTACATGCGCAGAAGTGAGACCATAATTAAAAAAGACCAAAGCTCTGTGGAGCTGAGGAATGGGCTGTTTGTTATGAGGGGAGACACTCTTAGCAGAAAGTCCAAACCAAGCTCAGGTATCTGGCATCACCTAGGACAGAGGCCAGGGCCAAGATAGCATTTGGATTTTGTTAGCGTTCATGGGAAATGGAACCTCCTTCCTCTGGTTTACACACCAGCCTTGCACATACTGAAAGTCTCGGTTACATTGGCAATAAGAAAACTTTCCACCTCATTGTGGCATGGGTCTCTATCCCAATGCACCAAATTATCTGGTTATTTTCCTCCTGGAGGCCCGTCTTTCTGGCTAGGCCTTCTATCCTTAAAGTTTCCATATGGCTGTAAGTAAACACTGCCATTTTAACATATTAACGCAAGTAACATCTTGGCAGCTTTCATTCACATTGCTGTGAACTCAACCAAACCAAAGTGGTTTGAAAGCTACAAAAGTTTACTTTAGCTGCTCTGGTTTTGCTTTACGTTTTACTATGCGGCCTAGTTATTCCTGCCAATTAGCCCATGGTGTTATGACCTGCTTCAGTGGGATGAAACAGGAGACAAGCTACTATTTCTTTCTGATGTAGAAAATTAGAAAATTCTGGACTCAAATTTGGGATTCGCCAGAGTGTGTTAAAAGCTTTACTGTGACATGTAAGGACTAGAAGGCACCTCTTATAGGTGTATTTGCTAAAGCAGAGGCACATAAATGTTTATGGATATTTCTTGGGAACTCAAGGGCTGACCCTAATTTAAAGTTCCTCGGCACTTCATCCATAGGTTTCCAAGTCTTTACTGAAGTCAGCTGAGTCACCCAAAGCCATATAGCCAGTGGCAGAGGTTGTAATCCAACCCACACTATTCTGTCTCCACAAGAATTTTGTGGATTGCAGCCGACAGGGGGTGCGGATAGCTGGAGCCTCCAACAAAAATCTTTTCCAGCAGACATCAGTTTAATTGGTTTGGTCACACTGCTCAGTTCTAGGTAGAATATTGCATAGTGGCACCCCGGGCTTCAGAGCCATGTTACCTTGCAGAGAGAGCAACATTCAGCGTGTGCTAAAGTTCTCCAAGCCTGGGCAGTCCCACCAGCTGCCCCGTGGGTGCTGCTGTGCCTCAAAGGCCTGCACGCAACCACATGAACTACAGCCATAACTTGGGACAAGTATTTCTGCTTCCTATGATGGATTGCTGGAATACAAGCTAAAAAGCAGTGTCACTGCAAAGAGTCCTGCCTGTCATCCCCCCCAAATTAAGTAGTTTAAAAAAGGTAAAGATGCTTGACTGTTTGTTTGAAGAGAGGCAGCCAAGTTAAGAGAGTTAATAGAGGTGATCCTGGACAGCTTCCAGCAGCTGAGCTATTAATAAAAACAATGGAAAAATGCCAAACCTCTTCTGTTTTCCTTAGCAATTAGTATACATTCCTTTAAAGTTTCAAGCTGCAAAACCTACAGCTCCCTGAGTGGAATGATACTTCTATATGAGGTACCATTTCAGAGCTGTCTCCAGTGTGTCATTCAGAGACATTTCCATTTTTCTCTTGTCCCCTCTCCAAAAGAAAAGACTCCTGAAATATTGATTTTTTTTTACTCTTTCTGTCCTTATTCCCTAACCGCTTAGCCATACGCTACATGGATGACTAAAACCCACTCTGTGCTGCTGCTTTAAGGACTTCAAAGTAGGATGCTTAACAAGCTTAAAGCCAAGTCAGCCTTTGATGATAAACATGCAGGCAGAGCAAGCCTAGAAAAGCAGGGTGCAAATAGTCACTTGTTGTTAGGCATTTTCACTTGACTGAATCCGTGAATAAAAGCACATGGTCAGATTCAGAAATATTTTTTCTCTGTTTTTTTTCTCTCTGCTGTGATAGCCCAGAGCAGTATATTGCAAGGATGTGCTAGACATCGAGCAGTTCTCCACAGTGAAAGGAGTAAACCTGGACCAAACAGATGATGATTTCTATTCCAAGTTTTCCACAGGATCAGTCTCTATTCCATGGCAAAATGAGGTAAGGATGTATCATAGTAAAATTAGCCCTATAAAACCCCTAACACAGATGGTTTAAGAGGAGCTGTACATTTCCAGTAATATATAGCTACCGGATAACTTGCCAAACTCTGATTCTTTCATAAGTTACAAACGGACTCTTTCAAGATCTATAATGTACCACAGATGTCAGGCTCAGGTGACTGTATCTGTTGGCTCTGCATAGCTGTGTAAATTGGCACGGATCTTACTGGACTTCCTTCTGGGTTTCCAGAGGCACTTTGACAACAGCCCTGGAGAACTCCCACAGGAGGGATGGCAGCCTTAGCGTGGGCCTCCTCCCCTCGTGACCCCATCTCACCCGTTGCTTTGCGTCTCCGGTGGGTCCCAGCTGCACCCGCTGGCTCTGGAGCTTGAACTGCTCCAGGGCTCTTGGTCTTGGGCCTTTGCTATCAAAACAGAGCCAGATGCTGAGATCATAAACCAAGGGCCACTCAAATGCCAGATCCCCTTGGTGGAGTGCAGCTAATAAATAGGATTTTGTGAGTGTGCCTCTTTAGCTAATATTCTCCAGAAAAAAAAAAAAGAAAGAAAAAATATAGAAAGCTTTATCGGGCAACTTCTTATTAGAAGTCTATCATCACCAATGTGCAAACGTACAGAGCAGGCCGAGCCTTTCTTTTTCCTATATCCCATTTAGCTCTGTAGCCACCAACAGGAATTCAGCTGTGAGCTCTCCTAACACGTAGCCAAGCTGTTAACAGAAGCTGCTGATCCTGTTCCTGACTTTGAACAACGTAGCACTGCTGGAAAATATGCAATGCTGATGGATAGTTTTTTTCTTTCTTTCTTTCTGTCTTTCTTTCTTCCTGTGTGTCACCAGATGATAGAAACAGAGTGTTTCAAAGAACTAAATGTGTTTGGACCAAATGGTACTATTTCACCAGACCTAAATAAAAGCTACCCCCCAGAGCCACCCAAGAAAGGATTGCTACAGAGAATATTTAAACGACAGGTGAGTTCTTTCATGGCTAACATGAGGAACCCTCCAATAGTCTAGATGCCCAGGGCCACAACCATGTCCTGTAGGTATTTCTGCTAAAAGAGCATTGTGCCTTACAGAAGGCTGGCTGTCATGGTTCCCTGGTAATTTCCTGACTAACACTGTGTGTCCCAGGTTTCCCGTCCACCTCTCGTGATTTTTTACCACTAGAAATGTCAGGATTATTCATCATGTTTGTTTTCAGTGCTTGAAAACTTCCCAAAGTATTTTTCAGTTGTATGCTAGGTTTCTTATTAAGCACATTTTAAAAATGGTTATATGTCTCTCATAAGTTTTCTTTATAATCCTTTGTTTTATGTGTTGAAAGAATAATAAAAATGTGGAAGTTGAGTGAAGTAGTCAAGGCAAGAAACCAAGCCCCTGGAGAGGGAGGTGGACGAGGGACTATGTGACATGCAGCTTTCCTGAGGCACCACGGTGACAATTGCAAATTCAGAGAACATTCTTAGATCAGTGTATTTCTATAGGGTCAAGGCTTTCCCTAAGCACTTGCAGGTATTCTCTGCATTAGTCAGATTTAGCAGATACTGACGTTTTGCTGTGTATTGAATTGACACCTGGAGCTCAGTTGTATCATCTCTGCCTTTCTCAAGAACCCCCATGGTCTTCCTAACCTAGGGAGAGTACAGGTAAGAAAGTGAACAATATTTTACCTCCAGGGATCTTCAAACAGAAATCTTTCATTGCAGTTACTACAATAGAACCATAAAATGAGCAATACTGGGTAAAAGGAAAGCGTGGTATGTTTGGTGAATCTGATTGTCATTCTTTTCTTCCTTCTACAGCATCAGAACAATTCAAAGAGTTCTACAAATTCAAAGGCCAATTTAAATCACCACATAAATTCAAATCATGTAAGTTCAAACTCCACTGGAAGCAGCTAGTTCCAGCTGAGTTTTGTGAAACAACATGTTGCATCCTTCCTCTATGGAGCTTCTATGGAAGAGTGAGCATCCACCATTGAGTGGAAAGAAGAAAAAAACAAAAAGGATCTCCCTAAAATGGAGATTTTCCATCCATTCCTTCCAGTGGAGCCTCACATTTTAAGAAGAAATTTCCACTCAGGTCTGTTTTTGGAGGTGGCACTCAAGACTGTGTGAATCAAATTTGTCGATTTAGAACATTGCAATAGAAATTCAATGAACATGACTACTTGCACGTATTTAAATAGCATCATGCTAGAACTGAATTTTGTCTTTATTATTTTTAAAGGAAAGTTTTGTAAATTTCTCTATTGTCTCAGTTTACATTTTGTACATTTGTATTTAAATGAAAGTCAGACTTTGGAGGTGTATATTTTCCAAGCAGCAGCTGTAAAGCCATGTGTTTTAAGACATTTTTTTAAAAGAAAAAGAAATGTGACTCAAGACTTCCAGAGCCTCAAATGAGAAATTGTTCTTTTTAGCAAATCTAGAAAAATATTCATATTCCACTTTATCAGACTGGGTTTTATTGACATACATTTTTATGGAACAGTTTATTCTTAATTATTTTACATCTGCATATTTGGTTTACAGCAACACTGCATACATTTCTCCACTTCATTAATTTGTAATGTCTTGCATTAAATGTTAAAGGATACAGATAAGGCTTTGATGCATTTAAGAATACTACTTGCTATGCCTAAGGTTTGCCATGTTGTGGGACCAGCACAGATGAGATTTGCACTTACTTTTGTCAGATCATGATAAATCTATCTGGTTTAAAAGGGAACTCCGTTTTAAGCCCTTTTCCTTCACAGTTTTCTTTTTTTTTTTTTTTTCTGTTTCTAATGAGAGAAAGAACAAAATTGATTGAGAGGTGACCAGGAAGGCAACTGATCATTTGTTTTTCAAGGACTTGAAACTTGCACCCATTGAAGTAAGAGCAAAATTCCAAGTGATTTCAGTGTTACAGTTTGAAGTTCAGGGAATTTGCACTGTTGCTTGTATCTAACAGGTAGCTAGAGAGAAATTCAGTAGTCTGTGTTGTTCTGACCGTGAGATTCATGTCAGCTTTCTGGAGCTGTGCTGTGGAGGTTCAGAATGGGATCTGACCTGCTTATGTCTCATCACATCTATTTTTCTTTTACCTGTCTCCATTTTTGAGCAGCAGTAGAACCTGTAGGTTGTGTCTGCACTTAGGGTTCTTTTATGTGTGAAGTGTCGTGTTGAACACACCATGGCTCATCCCCTCAATTAAGTCCTCAACTAAATTGAGTAAAATGTCAATTATGAAATAATAGCTCCCACTTCTGGCTAAATCATTCTCTGTTGAGGATCCTGTAACCAATATGGAAAATATTCTTCCCGTTAGTATAAATATGATCAGTCAGAGCAGTTGCAGTACCTCAGGCACCAGAAGTATGTTCTTCTCAAGCAGATTAATATCTATTATTAATAATGCCAGATCAGGTATAAATTATCATTGCTTCCCTTCAAGTTGAATTGCAAGAACTGTGTCCCCAAGTGCAGACAAGGTCTACATAGTCCATGTTCTGTAAAACAGGGTGATTCAACATGCTCTTTATGATGTTGCCTAGACTGGACTGATCGTTTTATACTTCTCAGTCAACAGGGAGCATCTGATGGTCATCCTGGTGTGTCTGATGGATAGTGCTGCTGTCCTTGGCCATGAGGAAGCACTGTTCCAGCAAAAGTCTAAGTAGACAAAATTCCTCAGACAAAATATCTTTAGATATGTTCTCTCTGGCCAGTGCAGAAAGGAAGAAGATGTGGGTTAGTAGTGTCAAAGCTGTGAATGAGAAAGTGATGTGAATTACTAAAACAGCCGTGGGGAGAGAAACAGCACAGGGTCAGAGCTGGTGTAAACAGAAGAAAGACTAAGAAGGGAAACAGGGCACCTTGATCAGAAGCAGCAGGGTGTGTGGAGGAAAGCATACGTCATTCCAAAAGCTCCCAGATTTCCTGGGCATTGGTAGACATGCAGGAAAGCTCTGTAAATGTGCCATAATGCCACTGAGAATCCTTCCCCTTCCTGGTTCAGGTCGCAGGAGATCCCTGTGCCCAGGGCAGGTGGTGCTCACCACTCTCCTATGTCAGATGTTGGCAGTGCAGATCTTAGGCAAGGTGCAGGATTGTAGGGAGGCAGGAAGAGATGAACATTTGGAGTAATTTTCTCTCCGGATCAGCTATAGCCTATAATAGTTTCAGAAGGGAAATAAAATACTGCAGCATGTGCCTACATGCTGCACTAGCATATATTTCAATATATGCCTGCAGCATATATGTGTGTCTATAGAGGCCTGTTACCTCTGGATCTGTTCTCATAGGCTACTGTCAAACACCAAGAACCCGACAGCCATTTCAGCGTGCTGTGGGTAAAGACACACTTGCTCTGGGACAAGCTTTCTTCAGGGACACGTGGGACCTCCCCTGATCTCCAGAACTGGAGGTGAGGGTGAACGCGCAGCTCGTAGCCAAACCACGGCTGTGGGTCAGTGCACGTGGGACGTGCGAGTTCCCGGCCAGCAGCCCCGTGTGCGGGTTGTCCCAACGGGCTCCGTGCCGGGCACAGGCGCTGGGCACGGGGCTGCCGGGCGGCTGCTGAGCACAGGACTAAGCTCCTGCTCCACCACTGCCGTTACCTGAATTTGCAGCAACAGAGAAGCATGTTCTCCCATCAGAAAAATGTGGCTTATATTATCTACCCACCATTCTGGGGGAGAGAAAAAAGGAGTTATGGGAAGGCTGAGTGCATGTTTCATGTTTCCCCAGTGTTTCATGAGATAAAGCTGATAAGACCACAGCTTTTCACCCAAGAGTTTCATTTGCTTCATGATTCATTTTCGGCATGTTAGCAGTTTGTCACATGAAGACAAAATTTTCTTTTGTCTTTTTTTTATCATCTCCCATTTGGGAAATAAAATCCTAATTATAACAAATCCTTTATTGAAATCGGGTGAACAAATCTCAAATAGATTGTACATGGCCATATACCTCCTAGATGCTCAGCCTTAACTAGCGGTGGATGATTTTTTGAAAAGGCAGCAGTGAGTGGTAGCAGATAACATGGTGATTGGCCGTGGAGGCTCCCTGTCAGCGTGGCTGTAGGCAGAATTCCAGGTTTGTGCCCTAGGGAACATCCATCCTGTGGCGGGGATCCCTCCTGCTGTCCTTGCACGGGGACAGTCCCCTCTTCAGCACCCCTAGGACTGTAGCAGTAGGAACACGAGGACAGCACAAAATCCTAGAGTGGGCAAGAACTGTGTTCTGTGAGTCCCAAGCGCTTGTAATCCTTGGAGGAGGTTATTCCATGGCTGAATAGCTGGAATCATCAAGATTAAATGGAAGAAGGTTTCCTATGTCCTGCTTGTGCTAAAGAGGCAACTCTGCAACCAAGTGCCAGCCCTTGTGGAGCAGAGAGTGAGTAAAGGGGAAGACAGACAGGACCAAGGAGGAGGTTTCCTGCCATTTCCCTGAAATGTCGCTATCCTGCCCACAAATCTCAGCAGGATCACGCTGAAGGGAGGGCAGTGTTGTGACTTGTCGTGACTTTCAGGACTTGAGAGATACAATCAGTATCTCACGTCGTAGTGCTGACAAACTGGGAATCTATTGGTCAAGATTCACCTACAATAGCAAACTGTGCAGTTTTGTTGTTGTTATTCCGCTCACCTCACACCCAAGACCAGAATAGTCCTTCCCTTCCTTTGTGTGACCAGGTGCACTTGGACTTTGTCTCTGTGGAGTCAAATACGTCACTGAAAAAACACCACGGGTGTTCAGAAGTCCTGAAAAAAAGATAGGCTCCTAATTTCATCATACAATCCTGAAGAGCATTTAGGAGGGAATGTGCAATATTTTGATTCAGCATGTATAATTTTTGAGGTGACTTTGCGCATAACAAAGGAGGAGAAAGGAGTAGTTGTTTAATAGCCTTCCAGACTGATTTATTTTCTGTATCAGCTTCCAATTACAGTACAATTGCTTTTGAAAAATGTGCAAATTAAGATCTGGTGGTTTATTTTAAAAAGACTGATGAACAAATAGAGCTCTTTCTTTTTAATAACTGGGAAACTCTGCATACTGATCCTGACTTGTGCAAATAAGTCTGTTACTTTTAAAGCCTTTACTAAGTAATCAAAGTAAGAGTTGAAGGAGCAAGTAGGTGCCCATGCAGCCTGGATGATCAGCTCTTCGCAGATCAGTGTTCCCTGAACCTGAATCTTATCATTCTTATCACAGACTTTAATGGAAGAGCAATAAACAAGGTGCACATCTTTATAGCGTAGCTGCTTCTGGGACATCCATGGAATGGGTGGTTCAGATTTGGCCCATGAAACCTGACTTCATTGTGGAAAACGTATGGCTGTTTCAACCTCTTGTCCATAGTTATTTGTGACTGTTTTCTGTTCAGATTTGTAATACTAACTTCTTAAATACCTTAGTAAAAATGAGATCATTTCCATACAATGTTGAAAAAATGGATTTTGCTTTGAATGAACATTCTTGGGTTAGTCTACCTCTTGGGATCCAGACCATCTTCCTTAATGTGTGTAGTGTGAAACCCAAAAGGACCTGCAGAAGCTCAATGAATAAAATCAATCGATCCCGAGGTGCCAGGGGTTGTAATCACAAAAGCACCATTTGGCCTTCTTGTCTGGCTCAGAGAAACCCAGTGGTGATCAGATAAAAAGGTTCTTCTGCTTCGGATGGTCCTGCCCTGTCTCAGGCTGAAGGGAGGTATATTTGGCTGTGAAGACTGGGAGAAGCTGTTTCCATTCAGTGTCTGCATGGAAAACAGAAGATTCTAAAGTTATCAGTGTCAAATTTTCCATAAATCCAATCTGCAGTTTAAAATGCTGTCAATCATTTACAACAGGAGTAAGAACTACTAGCATGAACTTGAGAGAAAGAGTGCATAAGTCTAAAACTATTCTTCACTTTGTGTGCTGTGTAGGAGACCATCTCTCTTAGAAATACTTAATATGATTTATGCCATCCACCTGGTAAAACCTTTCTGTCT